ATTTATTTGTGCATACAGGAACTGGGTTATAGGTCAGAGGTGCTGCGAGGGGTAAAATGATTCACCAGAGATAGAGTGGGGAGCAGAACAGGCAGATTGACGAAGTACAATGCTGAGGGGAGCAGCGAGGGAGACAGGAGAGGTCTGCTGCATGTGCTCCATGTGAGTCAGCTCCCTGGCTGGGATAGGACTCATGCTGCAGTGGTTTTAGATAGCTTCATTGACACAAGCTATGCAACGTCTATTGTCTGACAAATTCCGGGTAGATCAGGAAAAGCTCTGAAAAATCAGACTTTCTACTGCTAACTTATGTTATGACCTCCCTTTTTTGTATAATTGTAATATCAAAATATTCTGAGCAACCTTCAGCTTACCATTGGATTGCCTTAGCCGCATAAGTCCTGCCTGCACTGACAAGCAAGCACTGCACCAGGGTGAGAAATTCCTCTGAAGTCAAAAGTGACTTGACAACTGGCTGATCAATAAAAGCAAAAGGGCTGTTTCTGCAAAGTCTCTCTCACTGCCAGATGGAGGAAAACCCAAATCTTATCATTCTACTATCTCACCTAGTCTTCTATTTAGCTTCTAAAGAATTACTCAAACTGGCCTTTAGATGTGGAAATTAATCCAGGTTGCCTGTTTTAGAACTAGTCAGGTTTTCTACATGCTGCACTTCATAGGAATTCACACAAGTCTTCTGGCTAGTCTTTCAGGATTCTACTATCTAGTCTTTAGATAAGGAAATTCACCTATGTCTCCCATTCTGAGCAAATTATGCTTTCTATTGTCTAGACCTCAAGGAAACTCACTTAAAACCTTTTAGCAAGTTTCTTCAAAGAACTTTTCCGAAATTTCATTTGCAAGAAATTTCCTCTTCCTGCCTCCCAGGATGTCTCAGGTAGAAAAAAAAAAACAAACCATTAAGTAATAGATAAGGTTTAAGGGTCTTTATTTTAGTTAATCTTCACTATAGTAATATTAGTCTTAACTTTGTGTGCACCTATGTACCTGTTTTTAACCTTGATTGATTTTAGAATGTTATAATCTCAAGTAAAGGTCAAAATGATCCCAGACTATTAGAAAAAAGGTGATTGTGATCTTAGCCCCTTTCATATGCTAATGTTATCCCTCTGCCTGCTTGAAACGTATAAAATAAACCTCTGCTGAAGGCAGAGCAGGAAGATTTGCACCCAACTCCGACTCCCATGTCTTCCTCACTCCTTCTCCCCTTTACTCCCCAATTTTTAGAATATCGCCTCGCTGACTTGTTCCCATCTTGAGACCTTGCCTGTGTCAGCCTCTCAACAGCCTGAAATCAGGGTTGGTCCCCAACACTTCATAGCACTTACTTTTACCTGCTGGGCCACCCTAATGGATTATGTTATCCCTAATAGGTCTTAAGCCCCATTTTAGAGATGAGGAATATGGGTCTCAGAGAGGTGAAGTTGTAGGTCCAAGAACACAGAATTCTAAACTGCCACATCTCCTCCTTGCTGAATAGGTGAGGGAATAAATGTCTCTTGTGCAGGGACATGGACAGATCCTAGAGACTTCAGAGACAAATGAGTGGGCAGACTCCACAGGGACAGTGTCAAGTTTCATCTTGTTTTCACCAGTTCAGCATTGTATTAGGCTGGACAGATGGAGGTAGGATGCCATGTGGACAGTTCTTTTAGGCAGCAAGTTCTCTGTATGCTGCCTGTGATACAATCACAGGAGCTGGCCAGAGTTCCTAATTCCTTGACTCTTCTATCCTAGTAAGGCAACTATTGGTGGACTCCTACTTAGCTTTGAAATGGAGTTTGATCACCAGAAAGACCAAGACATGATTAAAAATTTGGAACTTTCAACCCCACTGCCCATCCTCTAGGAAGAAGCAAGGGGAAACTGAGTTAACCATCAATCATACCTATGTGATGAAACCTCTGTAAAAATCCCTGCATTGGGCCCTCCCTGGTGGTGCAGCAGGTTAAGTGAGCTGCAGCTGCTTCAGTGCGAGTTCGATCCCCAGCCCCGGAGGTGACCCACATGGTGTGGCAGTGCTCTCCTGACCTACCCCTGCTCCCTTCACAGTGTACTTCGACAGTCGGTCTGTTCTGCTCTCCACTCTATCTCTGGTGCACCTTTGGCTTTTACCCCAGTTCTGTATGAATAAATAAATAAATCTTAAAAAAAAATTCCTGCACTATGGACATTGCAATGCTTCCAGGTTGGTGAGCACCTCTACATACTGGAGGGGTAGTATACCCCAACTCCATGGGACAGAAGCACCTATACCCTGTGGATCTCTTGATGACACAGATTAACTATTCATCTGTATTCTTTTTTTAAGATTTATTTTTATTAATACATACAAGAACTGCAGTTGCATATAGAGTTTGAGGGGATGAGAGGACTCACCAGAGATAGAGTGGGGTGCAAAGCAGGCTACTGAAACACACTGCTGAGGGGAGCAGCAGGTGAGACAGGAGAGGTCTGCTGTGCCCTGTGAGTCACCTCCCTGGCTGGGGCTAGAACTCATGTTGCAGTGGCTGGTGATAGCTTAAGAGTGCTGAGACTTTAACCCCTGCACCACCAAGGAGACCCTCATCTGTATTCTTATCTTATCATTTATCATATGATAAATCCGTAAATGTCTTTTCCTGCATTCTGGATGTAAGTCTAACAAATTGTTTACCTGAGGGGTCAGGGGAATTCTGATTTATAGAAGTAAAGTGACAGCCAATGACTTGTGATTGTCATCTGAAGTGGGAGCAATCTTGTAGCACTGTGCCCTCACTGCAAGTACATAGTGTCAAAACTAAATTGTAGGATACCCAGCTGGTATCAGAATTAGTTGGTAGAGGAAACCCCCCCCCCAACACACCTGGTCACAGAGGTGTTTTGTATGAAAAGCAAAGGAGAAACACAGTAAGTTTTCCTTGGGCGCTTTTCCCTGAGACGTGGCTGTGAAGGAATGGATCCCTTTCCATTCCTTCCTTCCATCCTTCCAGGACATTTCCTGGAGAAAAGTTGAGCTGGACCCTAAAGGATAGTGGGATTTAGATAAGGGAGAGGAAGTTAAGAGAACAGAATGACAGAAACAAGTAAATATGTACTAACTACCTGTCATGGGCTTGGTACTGTGCTGCTGACAGAAACATAATAGTGAGCAAAACAGACCCTATTCCTGCCCTTGTAGAATTTACAGTCTACTGAGAGAGACTGATGTAAACAAATAACCCCCCTATACAATTATGTACTTAAAACCTGCAACAGGGGCCTTCCCTGGTGGTGCAAAGGGTTAAAGCACAGCACTACAATGCTATCTGCAGCTGCTTCAGCAAGAGTTCCATCCCTGATCCCCCCAGGGAGGTGACTCACATGATGTGGGGACCTCTCCTGTCTCACCTGCTGCACCCCTCAGCAGTGTATTTCAGTCCATCTGCCTGTTCTGCTCCCTGCTCTGTCTCTGGTGAATCCTCTCACCACCCCTGCACCTTTGGCCTGTACCCCGCTCTGTATACATAAATAAATAAATCTTTTTTTTTCCAAGCCTGCAATAGGCATTATGAAGAAAAAGTACACAGTACTATGACAGTTTTGTTGAGGGAGAGGGGACTGATCACTATTGGCTTAATACCAGTAGTAGAGAGAGGCCACTCCTGAGGAAGAGGCATCTGAGCTTATATTTGAAGGATATGTGGGAGTTAACCAGGGGATGGTGAGGGCATGGGCTAAGAGCATACCAGGAAGAGAGAACATCATGTGAAAGGTCCTGAGGCAGGAGACAGGGTACATGGGCAGTTTGAGGAACTGAAGTGCTGGAATGCATGGGGCTGGCCATAAGTAAGTTTTGGAAGGACAGGCAGGTGGAGGAAAATCCTGTAATTAAACTGTAGGCCAAACTAAGAATTTGGGCTTTTATGGAAAGTAATTGAAGGGCTTTAAAACAGAAGTTTTCGTAATAATTTTGTTCCGTTTAAATAGATCTGTTTACATCATGGACAATAAACCATTTTAACTAGTCCACTATAAGCAGTAACAGTGACTGAATTTGATGGTAGCAGAGATGAGCAGATACACGATGTGGGAAATGTGAATATACAAGGTGAGTTGTTGGGGAGTGAAGCAATCACTTTCCTCATGGCTCATGGATGTACTGCTGAATTCCCCCATTCGCTTAACAAATGATAGATGCCCCTATCAAATCCCAGTTCAGGCTGAGCTAAACCTGCCGGGGCTCAGGGATATCTTCGTCTCTAAAATGATAAAACCTGGCATTCAGTCAAGGTCTGAAAGAAGTAGGGCTCAGCCAGTGTGAGGACGGATGCAGTCCGTTCTTCCGAATGGCACCCCGCGGCTCGGACCCTACAGCCAGGACACTTTGAGTTTGTCTAAGTAGGCTTACACTCCGTTCCCAGTCCGGACCCGTGAAGACTTCCAGACTTGCGCTCCAGGGAAGGCAAGGAGTTCAGTTTCCCGGTCCCACTTTTACTTTTGGGAGTTTACAACACAGAATTGGAAGCTGTCAGGCCTCGAGGCGCTGAGAAGGGCTCGACCACCACCTGCGATTCCCTCGCTCCCCAACCCGGGGCACAGGTAGAGGCAAAGGGAGGTAGGGAGCTGGACGCCCACCCGCCGTTCTCCGGCGGGCAGAGCAGAGGGGCGGAGCGGGCCTTTGTTGCGTCACGAGACCACGCCCATTGGGAGGTCGCTGCGCTTGCGCCAGAACGGCTGTCTCGCTCCCGGAAGTGGAGGGTCTACTCGGAGAGCGTCGCTGGGTCTGGATGCTCGGAGGCAGAAGCGCTCGCGGAGCTTGCCCGTCGGCCCCCGATCGCCATGTCGTCCTTCGACACCAATCCCTTCGCGGACCCAGTGGACGTAAACCCCTTTCAGGTAGAGACCCTAACTCCCAGTTCTCTCTAGTGCCTAGGGTCGACACCCCGGGCCTCTGTGGCCACAGCCAGGAGACGTGGCGTAGGAGGGACGGGCTCTCGGGCCAATGAGAGGGCGAGCTCTAAAGGCTGGCCTATCGTAGCGTCTGAGGGGCGGGACTATCAACTAGAACTGGAGGGGGCGGGGCGCTGTAGCCTGGGAAGAAGTGGGACCTCCTGGCTCTCCAGACTGAGCCCCTCTGACTGAATACTACTGGGGAAGGAGGCTGCAACAGACATGTCAGGGCAACCCTTCCCCCTTCCCACCGCTAGGAAGAGAGGCGCTTTCAGGAGGGTGAAGTGTAGCTTTCACATCCCAGTTTTGGGGAAACACCTGCCTTGAATCACCTTTTGAGGGAGTGACAGCAACTTAATGAGGAAGTTGCAAGCTCTAGAAGGATGGAGAAATATGGGAAATCCCAAGATTCCCCCTCCAACCCCCAACAGACAAACTAGTCGGACGCCTAGAGATTTTTCAGGAGGGAAGAGGCTGGGAGAGAGTGAGAAGGTAATCCAAGCTGAAAACGGCCTCGATAAGAATTCCATATGTCCGCCAGTCGGACTGGATATGGTCAGCTAGGAAAGCCTGAGTTTGGGAGGGAGAAGTGAAGGGCTCCGAGGTTCTTGAGGTATAACAAATGTTGATTTGATGGGTTTGTGTATGTGTGTGTGTGAGGGTGGCTGCGGCAGCGCGGTAGTTGAGAATGCTCTTTGAGCTGACCTGACATTTTGGACAACATGGAGGAAGAAACAGTACTTCTGCTTAAAACCAAACCTTTCAGCCTTTGAGCTAAGAGCATGTGATAAAGGGGCAGAGACTCCTGTCAGCTCCAAAGCTCCTTGCCTCTTGTTTCCTGTCTGCTCAAAACCAGTTCTAGGGAACTTGCTTGTGCTGACCCATGACTTGTGAGCCCTGAGCGTTTTGCTCAGTCAGGATGTCACAGGCACATGAACTTACCCTGCTTGCATTTTATTTTGGTCATTGGCAGCTTCAGAGTTTCCTGCAGGTGTAGGGGAAGGCTCGGCCGGGTCCTTCCTGCTACTCACAGTGTGACCTTTCCTGCCACAAATCCTTCAGGGGTCAGAGCAAAGACAAAGGATACTCAAAAAATTGTTTATTTTTCTTGATCTTAAGGTGATCTAAGGCTCCAGTAGGAGCTTACAAAGCAGATTTGGGTAGCTTGTTCCTTGTAGTATCAGTGAATTCAGAATATTCCTCTTGTAGCTTAATGCTTCTTGACAGAACCTTTGCAAGGCCTTGACTCTTACATAATCTGTTACTTGAGTAAATAAAGAACATTTGCTTTTTTTCTTTGCTAGTGTCTTCTGGTAACTGTTTTTGCTTAATTACAAAACTGCTGTAGATTACTAGTGTGGTAGCCTTTGTGATGGTTTGCTATTTTTTTCCCTGTCAGAGTCAGAAGTGCACATGACTGCAGCTGTCTGGCAGCCAGAGGCAGTCAGCTGTCAAAAACTGTAGAGAGTGTCCCCCATTCTAGCAGTGGGTAGGATGGTTTGCCCGAGTTCTCCCCACTATTAATAGCAACTTGAAAGTCTTAAACATCACATATCCAGCCCCAGAAGTGATTGTGCAAACTGCGGTCAAAGTAACTTCTGCCTTCAAGCAAGAGTCTGTCCATCATGCAGCCCCAGGACATAGCAGGACAGGAAGCAGCTGTGGTCCTAGAAACAGCAACATCTGGTGGGGAATCCTGTGTGGGAAGGAGGACTGTCTGGCTGCAGTTCGGCTCTTCCTTACTGGAAAGAGTTACTGGCTGGGTTTTTCCTCTTGGCACATAGCCGTGTATGAGAAGCAGTGTTGGCTGTGAGGCCCCCAAGCTCCTGGAAAGCTGCCCTCCCACTCCTTGTGATGGTTGTGTCGACTTCCCTGATTGCTAGGGCCAGGACTTTGGGAGGGTGTAGCCAATAGGGGACTGGGTGTGAGCCCAGCCTCGTTTACCCAGGGTGTTGGCACAGCTCAAGCTGTCACACCTCGTCACCCTTAAAGCAGAGTCATTTTTCCTATCACTCCATGGTGGGCTATGAAAATATACTTAGTTGCGAGAGTCCATGGTAGACTCTTAGGTGGAAATACAACACCCTTAGAAATCTCTTCTAACTCCTTCAGTTTAGGGTAGTCTTACTCTGACTTGGGGTTCTTCTAGGTCAGCTAAGGCAACATGTAACATCAACACCTTTGCCACCATGCTTGAAATGAGAGTACTGGTAGTGGCAAAAAGAACAAATTAGTATTAGCTAAGCTGTTCTATTCCCCAGTAGGTGGGGATGGGATAATACAGGTTTTATCATGCTTCATAAAAGAGTAGGTCAAGTAGCGTGTGTTCTGAATAACACTAGTCCTAAAAGGTGCTCCGGTTTGGGATCAAAAAAATTTGGGTGTCACTGCTATTTACCCCATTTTTCTTGAAGATTGACAAAGCCTAGTAGTTTGTTACAGGCTCTGAGAAATCCTAATAATAAAGATACTTGCTCAACTTTATTTGACCCAGTGTTTCTTAAAATCTGACTATGGGATCCTGTTTCTGTTCATTCTTGTGCTAGCCCCTGAAACTCCCAGTGTGCCTTTAGGTTGCTTTCTTATCCATATATTTTATCCATTGCCGTCATGCACACACTCCCTTGCACTGTGTACATGACTTTTCGTCATTGCATAGGGCTGTAATTGGGATTGTTAGAAATCTGCTTGGCAAAGTAAGAACTGTGACTGGACTGGAAAGTGAAGTTGCAAGAGTGCAGCAGTAGGTTGGACCAGACACTGAGGAGAAAGCAAGAAATGCTAGCCAAGTGTTGCCACTTTCACAACCTCCAGTAACACTCTAACCCTTCTATAAGTTATGACGCGTCTGCTTTGTATTCTCTAGTTATGGGGGGTCTCTGCTTTGGGCTGACACTCCCCCTACACACAAACAGTGTATGTGTGTGTGCTCCTGGATGTTTCTCACTGAAGAACCATTGTGCCGTCCATTTTCTTCTTTAGCAGTTCACTAAAAAGCACATCACCCGTCAATGCCAGGGCTGTTTTCCTCCTGGGCGTCTCTGTCATATCACCCCAGATGGATGACATTGATCTTGAGGGGGATTGGACTTGCTGGCGGCAGGAGGCACAGAACAGAGAGAGCCTTTCAGTGTTTGTGGTTGCCAAGTCACACAATATCACTTTCACACGTAGCCTCCTTGCAGCTGAAAGATCATCTTGGTGGTGTGGCTGCTTCCCAAGCGTTTGAAACATTTCTCACTGCGGGAAAAAAAAGTGGTGACAGAAAAGTGATTTTGGTTTGAAGAAAGTTACATGAAATTCCCTGCACAGACACTGAGGGCTTTGCTGCTTTCCAGAGAGGGTTAGTTCAGCCTGGCTACTACTGTGGGAATTCACAAAACTGCCAGGTAGTCTTCAACTTGAAAATAAACTTGAACTTGAAAATGGCAAGCTTCACATAGTTTAGCTGTGACTCCAGGCAGCTTCCCAGATCTGGGGATTTTCCTGCCTTTGTGATTGGCACCTGAAGCCAGGGATGGGCATCAGAAAGTGTTTGACAGGACACACAGCTGAGCTTTGACCCTACTCTTCTAGTCATTTGTCTTTGGAATCACACGATGAAGGACCTTCCTGTATTCAGAAAAATGGTAATAATTAACCAGGACAAACAGGGATACTTGTGCTGGGACATCAGCAGGGTGTGACCCCAGCAGCAGTGCTCCTTGGAGGCGCTGACACATCAGAGCACATCCCTGCTGCTCCTTGGGCTGTGCAGGAGAGCATGGTGAATGGGCACAAATCCTGCCAGAGCTCCTGGCCCACAGCATAGTGAGGAAATATGGTCCTGATGACATAATGAGTATATTAGGAGGACAGCAAAACGTGCCCAGAAGAGGTATTAGGGATCTGAGGGGAAAGTGCAGAAACCTGTGGTAGAAAGGACATAAGCCAGTTGCAGAAATCCTGGCAGATGGGAAGAGAAGGTATTTGAGACAAAGGAACACCGAGAACCACAAGTCACCTGAGCAGCCGTCATCTTGTGCGGCCGTGCCCCACCTGTTGCCGCTCAGCGTCAGGCTCCTCTTGACGGTGGTCTCTTGGGAACCCTGGGCCTGTGGTTCGTCTCTGTTTATGACACATGCGCTCCCTGGTTCAGTCTCTCTGGATATCCTCTCTTATCTTGGCCTCTGTGCACTGGAAACTTGCACCTTCTTCTGCCTGTTTTCACTTTTTGCCTCAGACATCTAAAGTGACCTGGATTTCTCTCCTTGACCTTACTCTCACTGCGCACCTGAGGAGGTTCTTCCACTGCTCTGCTTCAGAACATTCGCACTCTAGTGACTGCACACCTCCAGAAATGGGAGTCCCCTTTTTTCTAAGCGTCAGACCTGTGTTTCCCACTCTCACCTGGATATTTCCAACCAATCAGATACATGCCATAGGTCTCTGCCTTCTGAGTCAGTATTTTCACAGTCTCTCCCTACTCCCACACACCCTGTTGCTGCAAAACCTGTTCCTAGCCTTTTGGATTGCCTTTCTTGGCTAATGGTCACATGGTTCAGCCACCCAAGCTAGCAAACCCAGTTACTCAGCTCCTTCCTTTCCGGTCCCTGCTTCCTTGCCTTGCACTAACTCCATGCCCTGCTTACCAGAGAGTGGCCATCTGCCTGAGAGGGTCTCTGGAGTCTGTCCCCTTTTCTTCATCCCTAGCTGCTTTAGGTCAGTCTTTACTGTCACTCAATTGGACTGTTAGGCCCCAGCCAGTCTCCCACTACCTTCCTGGTGTTTTATACTCACCTCACCTCTGGCAGACCCCATCTGGTCGCTTCCTGCTCCCAGTCTCTAGTTGTCCTCCATTGCCCAGAGGGTGAAGCCCAAACCCCTACAGTCTGGCTCTCTGATGCTCCTCTCCCACCACACAACTTCCAGAACATTTTCTTATTTCCTGAACACATGCAAATGCT